ATTACAGTTCCCAGACTTTAGTAAACCTTTTGTCCTAACCACAGACGCATCAAACTTCGCAATAGGAGCAGTTTTATCACAAGGGCCTATAGGATCAGATAAGCCTGTAGCATACGCTAGCCGTACACTTAGTGATACAGAAGTAAAATACAGTACAATAGAAAAAGAATTGCTCGCTATCATTTGGGCCACAAAACACTTCAGGCCATACCTTTACGGTAATAAATTCATTATATACACCGACCATAGGCCATTAGCATGGCTTTATTCTCTAAACGAACCCAACAGTAAACTCACTCGCTGGCGTCTTAGGTTAGAGGAATATGACTTTGAAATACGCTATAAAAAAGGGCCACAAAATACTAATGCTGATGCTCTATCTCGCATCAAAATAAACACAATAGATGAGGATTTAGATTCTATTCTAGTTAACATTGACGAGAATGACGAACGGATACGTAGAGAGAGAGATTACGTAAGAAATCGTAGAGGAAATTAATGATGAAATAGGGAACAATAGGAGTCCAAAAATAGAAACTATAGAATTATCAGACTCTGAAGTAGAAAATGAGCCCGAACTAATAGAAATTTCGGATGACGACATAACGGCGAATTCAGTTTCGAATAGGGAACATGAAGGTATTCCCATCCTTAACGAAGCAATTGATTCTAAACCAAAACAGATACTAGTTCACATATGGTATAAGAACAATCTTTCGGTTAAGGATTTATCCAATGACAAACAACGTATCCTAGAAGTTCACTTGCCTTTGAATAATGATAAACTGGTGAAAGAATTTTTAAAACAGTATATAGATCCCAAGCACAAGTACTATATTTATTTTGAACATGAGGCATTTAGGAAATCTTTTTCAAACATTATTACTAGCCTATTTAAAAGAAATTCTATCAAGTTAACTGAGTGTACTGAACGTTCCGTAAATTTAACAGGTGCAGAGTCTGATCAAAGAGATGTAATAATTAAATATCACGAAGGCAAAACCTGTCATCGTGGCATAAGAGAAACATTTTCAAAAATTAAAAGACACTATTTCTGGCCCAATATGAAAGAAACGGTAACCGCAATAGTAAATGCTTGTCAACAATGTCAAAAAATGAAGTACGATAGAAAACCCATTAAACCACAGATCCAATTAACACAAAGTCAATCTTTGCCATTCGAGGAAACATTCATAGATTTATTATTCATCGAGGGAAATTACCTTACTGAAGTAGATGCCTTCAGCAAGTTAGGCCAGGCCATACATATTCCAAATCGCAGTACCCCCGAAGTAGTCAGGGCTCTAATAAAATACTTTAGTATGTACGGGTTACCAGGAAAAATTAGTAGCGATTCAGGAGCCGAGTTTAATAATGACTTAATAAAAGAATTACTAGGGTTGTATAAAATAGAAATGCACGTAGGAACCCCAAATAATCCCAATTCTATGGCTATAGTAGGAAGATTTCATTCCACAATCAATGAAATCTATCGCCTTGCTAAATACGACAAAAGCGAACTAGACGCTACTTCAGTCATGACATACGCAATTATGGCATATAACAACACAATTCATTCTGCTACTAACTACACGCCATTTGAAATAGTTTTAGGACACACAGATGCTGGGAACGTTTTCAATATAGATAGAGATAAAAACTTAATACAAAAATTACTATTAGATCATAGAAAACGCCTTAAAGTCTTATACGAATATATAGCAGAAAAGATAGAAAAGGACAAAGTAAAAGTTAGGGAAAAAAAAGGTGGAGAGCTACCACCATCGATAAAGAAGGGAGACGAAATTTTTATGAAAAATACTAGAACAAGGAAACCAAAACATTTACCCCGATACGATAAAGCCAAAGTTATTGGAGAAACCAAGCATAATGTAATCCCAGTAGAAGTAAACAACAGAAAAACTAAAGTAGCAATGAAAAATGTGAAACGCCCTCCACAGGTCCTGTATGATTCTGCTGGTCCTAGCAGCTCCAATGAGCAGCCTGGAACTTCAAAACCTCGGTCAGAATCCGGGAGTAGCGCCGATGAAGATTGGGACAGCAGTAGTGAAGAGTAGTTATTGGACTATCTTTAAGGCATTAGACTTAGAATCGATAGAATTAGAGATAAAAAATAATATAGCACTTTTTTCTAGGATAAAAGATATAATTATGAAAAATAAGATAGATAAAGAATTAGGTATGTTAGTTAATCAGACAGAGAGTTTTTCTAAAGTTTTAGTTAGTAGAATAAGACAAATCTTACCTTATAGTACGAGAACAAAGCGAGCTTTATTTTCACCCCTAGGGTCTTTCGTTAAAGCCATCTCAGGGAACTTAGACGAAGAAGACGCTATTAGGTACAACAAACAATTAAATGATTTAGAAAATAAGGAACATATTACAGAACATAAAATATCATACATACAAAACGCTCTCGATAAATTTGTAAATGTATCTGAAAATATGAACTTTAACATTAAAAGTTTAGATTCAAAAACAAAAGAAATTAAAACACTTCTTAACGATGAGATAACTTTTAAGGATATAATTCACGTTACAAACAAAATTCAACTAATTCTTTTTAACTTTCGCAGCATTTACGAAAGCATCCAAGAAATCGAAACAGCTATCGCCTTCAGTAAGTTACAAGTGTTACATCAGTCCATTTTAAATACAACCGAATTATACAAAATATTAAAAATAGTAGAACAACATGCAATGACTATTTATCCAGTCAGCTTAGATAACTTAATAAAGATAGAACGTACTATAGTGCTTAAGTCGTTTATGAATAAAAATAGGTTAGTTTTCGTATTAGAAGTCCCTTTAATAACTACTGAAACATATATTTATTACAAAATTATCCCTATTCCCGTGATCAAAGCCCAAGAAACCCACACTATAATCCCTAGATTTCCTTACCTCTTGGTGAATAGATCGAAATACAGGCCCGTAATGAATCCATGTGAGGAGTTAGAAGATAACAAGTTTCTGTGCTCAGATGACAACATGCCCCAGTACAGAAATGAAACATGCATCGAACAAATTATGCTAATAAAAAACAACTACAGCGAATGCCGCCAATATGCCATACAAATTGAAGAGTTGAAGATTCAGAAGATATATGGTAATAAATGGATGATATTCTCAAAAAACACCCAAATAATTACGGAACACTGCCGAGATGAGACTCACAAGTACAACGTCAAAGGAACATATTTGTTTATACCTAGTAACGATTGCGACGTACAAGTAGCAGACGTCTATATAAGCAAACCCACAAACGCATCAAACATCAGTATACAATCAACACTAGTACAAGTACCAGAACTTCAGCGAGACATCAGAAAAGAAGCCAAACAACTAGACCTGAGGAACGTGGACTTCACCGACATCAAAGACATTCTAAGTAGTGCAAAAAATAGTGACAGTGAATTAGTCTCAAACAGTGAAATGTTCATAGTAACAAATAAAGTTAGCTTGTGGACCCTTTTACTATACACTGCAATAATCATCTTATTTGTAGCATTTCTCGTCTTCAAATTGAGGAACAACTGCAGCAAACGAAATTCCAATCAAACCACCAGCGGCACTTTCGGATAATTTCTCTCTTGGGGAGGGAGGAGTTAAGGACGGCACACCTATCCAACTCAGCTTCGTCAGCACTACGAACCAGCAACGCCAGGCCAATATCTAGGTCCAACGTCAAATACGAAGATGCAACGTAAACACTTAATTTAGTATATAATCGAATGTAACTAATTATTAATTGAATATTGTATTAGCTAAGTCTAGACTGTTACTCTGTCCAAATAAATATATTTTTTATTTTAACCAGTTGTAGTAACTTAACTCGTGCGCTAAGATTTTTCAAAAACTCACCCACTAAAGGGGTATAACTACACCTTACCTTACCTTACCTTACCTTGTGTGAAACACGAATATTTGCTGTCGATACTTTTTTTTTAAAGTTGACAGAAGAAGCAATTGTTCGGATGAGGTAAATAGTGCTCTTTTAAAAAAAAAGATGGCGCGTAACCAAAAAACGTGACGCGTAACCGAAAAAATGTGACTAAAAATTTTTTTCCAACGCCGATAAAGAAGTTTCACTTCAATAAATTATAATTTATATATTTTATATAAGCGGTTGTGTGTGTGTCTATACACACATACGTGTGTGTGCGTGTTCGTGTGTATGATGAGTGTACGTATGTGTGTACTAATGCTCTTTTTATCCGCTAGTCAATAAGATTAAGAAGGCTTTCAATTTCATCATAATCCAAGGTATTAAGCCATGATATCAGTTCAATAAAATTTTTGAAGAAATTAATGCCAGTTTACAATCTCTCTCTCTCCCCTCTCTTTCCTCTCTCTCTCTCCTCTCTCTTTCCTCTCTTTCCTCTCTCTCTCCTCTCTCTCTCTCTCTCTCTCTCTCTCTCTCTCTCTCTCTCTCTCTCTCTCTCTCTCTCAATATATCTAAGAATGAGAGTTAGAAGAAATTCCTATTAAATATGATTGAAATCAAGATATTTTGCTTAAGCACTGTTTTCATTTCGCACTGGTAACACCCGTTACAAAAGCATGTAACACCCTTACCCGTTGCACATTAAAGTTAGCAATGCAACAATAGTAGTATGAAATATACTAAAGATTTAGAATTTCGGTCAAATTATAATAAAAATATATTGTAAAAAGTGTTTTGAGAATAATAAAAAATATATATTTACCTTCATGATCACTACTTTTATTTAATTATCTTTTATATGTGTGCGATCTGTAACACCCGTGACATGGAATAAAAAAATCTTGTAACATTTTAAGAGAATATTGGACACAGAACATACGCCCCAATAGCGAAGGGTGCGGGTTCGAGTCCCGTCTGCTGCCTGGTCCGCGTGGAATTTTATCCTAGTAAAAAATTCTTTAGATTTAAGTATCAGATGGTTTATGGTCACACTTTTCATTGAAGAAGAACTGAAATAAGTTTTTGTTTGCAGTGCGACCAATGCCCCGCCATGTTCAAAGCCAACAACAGTCTCCATATGCACAAGTATACTTGTCACTCCAGCGCCATATATAGGTAAGTAATCACACATCTGAAGTGAAACTTGTTTTCTTAATCAACCTAACATTAGGCGGTGCATAAGGCATACGGGAATGGGGCAGCGCACGCATCACTCGTATATTTTATGTGTACATATATATATATATATACATACATCATCATCATCATCATCCTATTAATGTCCCCACTGCTGGGGCACAGGCCTTCCCAATGGATGGAATAGGGAGATTGGGCCATGACCCACCACGCGGGCCCAGTGCGGATTGGTGGGTGCTAACGACTGCAGATGCAGCCTACAGATCATACATACACATATATATATAAATACATATATATATATATATATATATATATATATATATATATATATACTAGCTGACCCAGCGAACTTCGTACCGCCATAAAAAAATAGGGGTTGGTGGTAGAAGGGTGAAAATCTAGGGTTGTATGTATTTTTGTATGATGTATCATAAAAAAAATAAAAAGAAAATATCTAAAATTAAACAAAAACATTAGGGGTGGATTACCCTTAACATTTAGGGGGATGAAAAATAGATGTCCGATTCTCAGACCTACCCAATATGCACACAAAATTTCATGAGAATCGGGAAAGCCATTTCGGAGGAGTTTAACCACAAACACCGCGACACGAGAATTTTATATATTAGATATACAGGTTGTCCCACGGCTACCTCACACGGAGGGAAAGTATATTAAATATTGAAGATAGGATATTTTACCGAAAGAAGACATCATTTTATTTTTAATAATAACTAGAACTGCATTCACAGATTTTTTAAAAATCGCCTCCTACAACTGGGTATCAAACTCGTGAAATTTCGAAAAAAAAAACACTTAATATTTAATGATAACCATCGAAAGGGTTAATCATAAGGATTATTTTTTTCTAAATAACATAGCATTTTAAATGAAAGAAAAGTAGGTAATTAAATTAAACATTTTATGTAAAATTATTTAACACAAACTAATATAAAAACGAAACGGTGCAAGAAAAAAATATATCAAATGGTCGAAATGAATGAATTTGCATACAACGAAATGGATCACATTTTGTTGCATGAATGTAGTTCTAGTTATTATTAAAAATAAAATGATGCCTCCTTTTATTAAAATATCCTATCTTCAATATTTAATATACTTTCCCTCTGTGTGAGGTAGCCGTGGGACGCCCTGTATACTAGCTGTCCCAGCAAACTTTGTACCGCAATAAAAAAATAGGGATTGGCGGTAGAAGGGTGAAAATTTAGGGTTGTATGTATTTATGTATGGTGTATCATAAAAAAATAAAAAAAAGGGTGGACCACCCTTAACATTTAGGGGGATGAAAAATTCGATGTTCTCCGATTCTCAGCCCTACTGAATATGCATATAAAATTTCACGAAAATCGGCTATGCCGTTTCGGAGTAGTTCAATTACGCACACCGTGACATTTATATTGCGATTCAACTAAGAATAGGACCGACTGGGCGCCATATTATTATGTCATAGCTGTCAATTCAAACCAAATAGGTAGAGTGAGCAAAAAAAAGTTTTTATTTAATAAAACTTATTTACTAAGATTAAGTGAGAAAAAGCATCAGATTTTATTAATAACATTTATTTACTTAGATTGAGAAAAAAGAAACACCCAAATTTAATAATATTTATTTATTAAGACTGAGAAAAAACATTAATCAGAATCTAGTTCTTCTATTTCGCTCATCTCTGCATTACTGCCGGAGTAGTTATGAATAATCATGCACTATTACTAGGTCACATACGATCATGCATCCTTTATGTTAATGAAAGTTAGAAATCGAGTTCTGAACGCAACTTAAAGAGATATTTGGTTGACGATTTAGGTTATCAACCATTCATGGCCAAAGCTCAATAAGTAAAAAAAAAATCTACAGATATTAATTATCAATATTTGTTATTGTTTGTTTACAAATGTTTGGTTTTTATTCTAGAATTAGCGGAGTGCTAAAAAAGGGTTCCAAGTTTTTTTTTGCAAGCCGTACTTTTCAAGCGACATTTGACAGATAGAGGTCATTGGCTTTCCTATTCTTATTTGAATCGCATTATATTTATATTTATTTTCGCGTGTGACGCTGCGCACGCATCACACACCATTTGAATAAATTAATTTATAATTAGATACATTGTTTCCCCTAGGTGCGGGGTTTGTTCGCGCGCGTACAGCTGTCGGCAGTACGTGGTGAAGCATCTACGCCGCGTGCACAGGAACCACGACCCGCGCCCAAACGTGCTGTGCGAGCCCAGCGACATCTAGCGGCCAGTAGCCGAAGCTTAACACCTGCGCCCACTACACAAGAACTGTGAGCTGCGTGAACCCAGCGACATCTAGCGGCCAGTAGCCGAAGCTTAACACCTGCGCCCACTACACAAGAACTGTGAGCTGCGTGAACCCAGCGACATCTAGCGGCCAGTAGCCGAAGCTTAACACCTGCGCCCAGTACACAAGAACTGTGAGCTGCGTGAACCCAGCGACATCTAGCGGCCAGTAGCCGAAGCTTAACACCTGCGCCCACTACACAAGAACTGTGAGCTGCGTGAACCCAGCGACATCTAGCGGCCAGTAGCCGAAGCTTAACACCTGCGCCCACTACACAAGAACTGTGAGCTGCGTGAACCCAGCGACATCTAGCGGCCAGTAGCCGAAGCTTAACACCTGCGCCCAGTACACAAGAACTGTGAGCTGCGTGAACCCAGCGACATCTAGCGGCCAGTAGCCGAAGCTTAACACCTGCGCCCAGTACACAAGAACTGTGAGCTGCGTGAACCCAGCGACATCTAGCGGCCAGTAGCCGAAGCTTAACACCTGCGCCCAGTACACAAGAACTGTGAGCTGCGTGAACCCAGCGACATCTAGCGGCCAGTAGCCGAAGCTTAACACCTGCGCCCACTACACAAGAACTGTGAGCTGCGTGAACCCAGCGACATCTAGCGGCCAGTAGCCGAAGCTTAACACCTGCGCCCAGTACACAAGAACTGTGAGCTGCGTGAACCCAGCGACATCTAGCGGCCAGTAGCCGAAGCTTAACACCTGCGCCCACTACACAAGAACTGTGAGCTGCGTGAACCCAGCGACATCTAGCGGCCAGTAGCCGAAGCTTAACACCTGCGCCCAGTACACAAGAACTGTGAGCTGCGTGAACCCAGCGACATCTAGCGGCCAGTAGCCGAAACTTAATTATGTACCTCTGCTGCCGTTGATGGAAATAATTTATAACAAAATAAATGCTAGCCTAACGACATCTAGCGGCCCGTAGCTGAAGCTTAACACGCCGCGCCCGCCCGTGCTGCGTGAACCCAGCGACATCTAGCGGACAGTAGCCGAAATTTAATTATGTACTATCGCGGAATTTTGCGCTCTGTCACTTGGCGAACAAAATGCTTTGAACGGTTTTCTACAGTAGTTTTTACTACGCCCCGCCTTCGCGTCGGACGCGCCAATCCGGGCCGCCGCACAAAAGTAAGACAGAGAGCATTTCATTGATTGAATAATGAATTGAATTGCATTTGTTTTAGTTGCAATTTGTCATCCGCATCGTGATCGCGACAACGCTATACGAAAAAGTAAGACAGCGATAATTGCATGTCTATGAATGAATTTTTACTACGCCGCTACCGCCAGCGATTATGGCATTATGGGTGACAGAGCGGGTCTTTCCGCGAGTGTACCTTCAGCCGTTGATGAAATTAATTTATAATAATATAATAAATGCGAGCCTAACGACATCTAGCGGCGAGTAGCCGAAGCTCGATTATGAACCTGCAGTCATTGATGGGATTAATTTATAATAAAATTAATAAATGTGTTTAAATAGATCATTGTTTTTTTTTCATTCATTCATTTTCAGTACGTGGTGAAGTTTGAGTTGAGTTGAGTTTGAGTTGTAACTGTACCCTTGGCACGAACCAATATCGAATTCGCATAGTTTGCGAGTTCGAAATCTGAATGTCATAATTTGTACGAAAACTTGAACAGCAGCGCCACAACGGACGCAACGAGAACTAAAAATCAGTACACATTTGACAATGACATTTCGTACTCGCAAACGCTTAGATTAAAACAAAAAGGAAAGATATGGCACTTGCGGCTCAAACTGGATCCGCTTAAATTGGTCATCATCAGCCTATTAATGTCCCCACTGCTGGGGCACAGGCCTTCCCTGTGGATGGAATAGGGAGATTGGGCCATGACCCACCACGCGGGCCCAATGCGGATTGGCGGGTGCTAACGACTGCAGATGCAACTGGGACCAACGGCTTAACGTGCCTTCCGAAGCACGGAGGAGCTCGAGATAGTAAATTTTTGGTCACCCATCCAATGACCGACCACTGCGAAAGTTGCTTAACTTCAACGATCGCAGCCGAACGCGCTAACCAGTTGCGCCATCGAGCTCCTCGAGCTTAAATTGATGCACGATCACTATTCGCTGTAGTCACAATTGGACATTCAAACACGCTTAGGGTAACTATTTAAAAATTTGAAATGTCCTGGCGAAAAGCCGGATTTTTGACTGTACCCGTGTACTTAAAAAAATCAGATTTATTTTTTTATGTATATATTTAGCAAAAATCAACATGTGCCGTTTTCGGCACTACATGCATTAAATGGAATATTTTTTTTTTGTGTAGGTCATTGAAGCAGTCTTTGTTTTTTTTTGCGCATAAATGAATTTTACATTTCGCACACATTACTACAGTCTTCAAATTGCAGGTTGGAAACATACGTCTCATCCTATTAGGTGTTCTTACTTGTTCATGGCCCAAGCCATAGAGTATAACGTCATTTGGGGGTAAAAGTTGACAGGGCTTTCCTTTCCGTATCTTGGGAGGCGGGCCAGCTTCTGCAGTTGATGTAGAACGTGGTCGACCCCTAGGTATAGGTGTGGAATATTTGCAAAGTGTGTCTGCTAATTCAGAACGAAAGTCTGCAAGATTCATGATATCTTTGCTGGCTTTCCCCCTTTTACCCATTACTTTTCTGTAAAGAATCCAGGCATTGATGATGGTGAGGTCCAACAGATGGTAAAAAATTCTCATGTACCATTTTCTGCTTTTGATACGAATTCTATACCTGCCAAGGTGAGAATCCATAAGGTCGACACCTCCCATATGTGCATTATACTCTTTTACGAGTTTGGGGCAAGGAATTTCGAGTTTACGCTTCAATTTTTTATCATATCTATTGATTGTTCCCGCAGGTTCTGCACCTACGTAAGTAGATGCCAGGGTAACTTGTTTATTGTCTTTCCACGAAACTGCAGCAATGTCCACATCATCAAAATTGGTGACATATTCTTCATATGTTCCTCGAGGTACAGAACTTTTCATTACGTCTTTTTTATCAGGCAATTTACAACTTTTTCCCAAACGATTTCGCTGTATGGTTCCTAAAGAATGGATTCCCTCAGTGGCCAAATGATACATTAGGGGCAACGACGTATAATAATTATCGAAGTAAACGATATGATTTTTTTTTCTTGGAACCACCCTGATCAACCTCATGACAGTTTGTCCAACAACTCCTATGTCAGGTTCACTTGGTAGTCTCTCGTCATCTTTTTCTTTACCCGCATATATTATAAAATTATATGAATATCCCAGTAAGCTACAGAGAACAAATAATTTGAAACCCCATTTGTGAGGCTTGTTGGGCATATATTGTTTCAAAAAGTGACCGATTTTTGTTGAACACATTTGCTCATCGATTGACAAGCGTTGGTCAATCGTAACACTAGAAAATTTGTTGTTCAAATGTGTTACCACTGGCCGCAATTTGTGCAACTTGTCGTGGTCTGGATGGTCGACTAGAAGATGTTTTGAATTGTCGTTAAAATGCAACATTCTTCTAATTTTTTCAAATTTATTCACGGGCATAGTTTCTCGTATAGGGCCAAACCCAAATTTGCCCCAGTACGAACGAATATTGGGGTAGTGGTAAATAGACATAAAAGTGATAATCCCCAAATATTTACGCAAATCTTCTACTGTAAATGTTTCTACTCTATTAGGTTGGTTCTGAGTTGCGTAAAGGTTTGATTCTTGAACAATAGACTCTAAAAAGTCATTATTAAAAAAGTACGTAAAAAATTGGTAAGGTGTATCTAATTCCAAAATATTTGAAGATAATTCTTCAGACCCTAAAAAGGTTATTTTGTCTTCAGAATAGACCAGATTTTGTTTTCTCCATAGTAGATTTCTACCTCCACTTGGCAAATAATTAGAGTTTTCAGAAGTTGAATTATTAGGTATTATTGGAGGGTTACTGTCACAATTTGCGTCGTCAGTTGCTAAGGGGGGATCAATAACTTGCATATCTGTAAGAGATGGATCAATGTCTTCACCATCACCACTGAATGGTTCTAAAGGAGATTCTTCTAACTCATCTAAAAGCTCTTGACGAGACGGATAATAATCTAGGTCTTCCCCGTCGAATTCCATCTCGTCGTCAGAAATTTCGCCACTTTCTAGCATGCGAAGCATCTCTTCTATATTTTTGTCATCCATAGCTATAAAGCAACACAACAATATGCAATAACCAACCACCCAGTAAAGTAAAAAAGCAAATAAATCTTTTGAAACGTGTTAGTACAGGTAAGCACTTAGCGGGAAAAAATTGTACTAAAAATGCATGAAGGGTCGTTTTCGGCACAAAGATACTTTGGTGTTTTTACGAGTCAATGATTGAAATGTGAAGTAAAATAATAATAAGCACATATTTTGGATGAACTTACCTGCTAAAATATTATTTTTACTCGAGAGAATACAATAAATGGACTTGGATTTTTTGAATTGAACTTCGGTAACTTCGCTTGGCGCTAATTTTTTTTTTTTGTTGAAGTTCTATCGTTTTCGGGAAGGCAAAGGGAACAATGCCCATACAGCCTGGTCTTTAATTAAATTAATCTTCTTTTTGTTTTTACATTAGAATGTCGGTGTGATGCATTCTAATGTTTCTTGGAGTGTTTGGCACGAAATGTATTGAGTTGGCTTTTTCGATAAGCTTCTGTGAGGTAGTCAACACTACAATAAAATTCTCACGTCCACTTGACCGGAATAGCGTATATTTTAATGATTCCACTAATTCTTCAGTTACGCAGACAGTTGTTACACAAAACCACACCAATTTTATTTCACAATATCCACTATGAACGAATTTAAGAATAATTAAAATAAGATGCCAACCGCACTCGAAGAAATCCCGCCAAAAAAAACCCGCTTGGCGCTAAGTACTCAAACCTCTGTCATAATTCCACAGATAAAATATACTAGTAATGCAGACTAAAGGCTGATATTCTCGTTTTTTTTTCTTTATAGATGACAGATTAAAAATGCAACAGCTAATAACATGACAGTTTAATGTTTGGCGGGTTATTTGAACTTTAATTTATTGTGCCGTTTTTGGCACAAGATGCATTTAAGGGAGATATATATTATGAATCATGTGTTGACGATACTTCTATTGAAAAGCTGTATTTAAAGTTGATTACGTAAGGAAGATTATCAGACTATTTAAGAACATTTGAATGACAAAACGGCGTTGTCATGATTTCTCCATTGTTTTTGCTTTGTAATTGTTTGCAGTGTCCTACAGATAAATGACTTTAATTTTTAAGTAAGTATGTTGTGGTTGATATAGGTGGTTATGGGTAGTCATGCTCTCTTAAAAATCTCTTCGGCGGTGTAGTGTGAGGCGGGTCGTTACGTTCCCTAAAATATGGTTGAGCGAAGCGATGGCTGGTTCATGCGTCATGCTCGTGAACGGGTGCTGCCAGCGGAGATGAGTCTGCCCTAACTACTTTGATATTTAAGATGTAAATGTTTAATTACACCTATTATAAATAACTCTATTTGTATTTATACTGTGCGACACAGCAATCAAAATGCAGGTAAACAATTAATGTATAATTTCACATTATGTAATGAAAGGTGACTTCATGAATCATCTCTGAAGTCATTTTTCAACTTGTGGATAAAACTCTGTAAATGATAAAACAGGGAGAAAAAAACAGCCCTTGCTGAGTTTCTCGCCGGTTCTTCTCAATACAAGTTCTCCCGCCGTAGATTTACGAACCGATGGCGTAGCTTCTAGACATTCATATGTGCTTGTGACAGCCTAAACTGAATAAATGATTTTGATTATGATTGTAATATAAATTAATAAGTAGTTTTACTCATATCACATCTAATTTAAAAAATCCGGACATGACCGGACAAATCCGGACGGATGATAACCTTAAACACGCTGCATGCACACTCAATATAACAAAATTGCTTATATTTTTTTAAGCATGTAACTGCTTATTTGTTTCTTAGGTTTTTCACGCACATCACTCATTAAATAAAACTAGTTTTTACGGGTTAATGCACGAAAACTTTATTTATTTATTGACGTTTCGCAGCCTTTTCAGGTCTTATTCTGACGATGCAGACCTGAAAAGGCTGCGAAACGTCTGTGGCTGTCGTAAATAAATAAAGTTTTCGTGCATTAAACCGTAAAAACTAGTTTTATTTAATGTAACTGCTTGATGTTTAAATCTAAAGAAAATTTAACTAGAAAAAAATCATTACACACATTTTTTTTTGTTATAATATTGCGTATATTCTGTGTTATAAAAAGAACAGAAATAGTTCAAAATCAAGTAAACAAATGCCGGCAATAAATTTTTTCAAAATATTGAGTTGTTTAAGCGCTGAAAAAGTATTCAAATCATTAGGAAATATAAACAGATCGACGCAGAAAAAAACACGTCTGATTTTTTTTTTTTTATGTTGTAG